TCTTTAAAAAAATGCATTTTGAGTATGTACATTCTGGTATGTTGGTGATTTAGACCTTTTTCAACTTCTTAGCTTACTTTTCAACAAAGTTCACTGAACAGAGCTTTTCGTATTTACCTGGTTGTCAGTAACGTGTTTGCTGTTCTACTTTTGTGTATAGCAGGCCAAGTTACTAGGATGTTACCAAGTGGTGTTTAATTTGTTAAGTTGTCATGCAACGTGTGTGTAAACAGAACACGTTGCATTGCATTGTAGACGTTGCATGGGACACACGTCCAACAGCATAACTATGGCTTGAATTTTCATGAAATTTATCTCATTTTTTATTTGGGTTCATTGCTTTTAATTTCTGTGTTAACAATGTTGTATACGTCGCCAGAGACCTATATTGACCATGACACAGTACTTCAAACATTGTCTTTCAAACAAAATTTTGCTGACAAGACAACTTTAAAACAAATTTATATTTCCTGAAACACTGGTGCAAATGAGTTTGCGATTGTCTCAGGCTGTTTGTTAGTGCCTTTGCTTTTGAATTTATTTATTAAAAAAACGTGCATCTGATAGAGGGAAGCAAAATGATTTGTTTCCAGGAATATCATGGTAAAATAAAAATCTAGATCGACAAAACAAAATGAAGGGAAGAGTACTGTAATACATGTAATACTTTTTTGCAAATTTAGCGAGAGAACTGATTTGCTAATACAAGATGTCGCTAATGACTTTATTATAAATTCAGAATGGCCGCCAAACAAAGAAATCAACAATGACGAGAGATTCGCTAAATCAACATTTTGCTATTACGTCATTTTACCGCAATTCGCTAAAATTGCATGCCGTTTTTTCAACATGTTTTACAGTGTTTAGAGCAGTTATATTTAAAAGATCGATTACAATTATCTTGGCTAATCTATTGACATAATTCCACTATTATATCCCTGTAAATAGATTTCAGTTAAAAATTAATCTTGCATTATAGCAGAGATTCAATATTTTTTTCTAATTCCGCTGATTTTTTGAAAATTGGTGTAATAAAGTACACCGAAAGTTTGTAAAAGTGTTTAGGATAATTTCCCCAAACGTTTCAAAATGAATGGCTGTTAATGTTAACAGATAGTGTTTACGAAAAATTTGAATGAATGTTTTTAATCATCAAATTAGTAATACTATATACGACGAATATGTCAAAGATTATGCATTTGCATAATTGGGGGGGGGGGGGGGTTAACTAAACCATGATATGGTTCAGTTTTCAGTTTGAATGTTAATTCTGATTAATTCTTAAGTACTGTAGATTTAATTTTGTTTGGAGTTGCACATAATAGGACAGATTAAGATATTTGTCTTTTCTGTGATTGCCAAGATATTACATAAGTTTGCTTTATTTTGTTGGCATGTGCAGTAGCGGCATTCCGTACATGGTTTGGTTCAGTGACCTGGAAACTTAACGCAGACCTCCTGTTTCAAGAACATTAAACATTGGTGATTAGATTTAAAAATAAATCCAAGTCTGAAACGCAAGTTCACTGTACTTTGAAATTATCTAGGTTTACTAATTACATCCTAAAAATATTATTAAGAACCTCTGAATAAAAATAAGTTATAAAATAAAATAACACAATACTGTAATATATTTTATTTTCGCTGTTTTTGCTGAAGGGACGATTTAGTAAAAATAAATTTCAGCGAATATACCTTTTTTTATATATTTTACATTTAACACATCAAAAATCAGTGAAAATAAACTCCATGCAAAACACTCAAAGTCTTTCCAGCAAAGATTATTTCCTGCTAAAATAAAGTATTTTACAGTATTTTACTAGTCATGCAGTAAGCTACATTGTAGATTATGAATTTAATTTTGTGGTCTGTTATGAGAAAATTACTTTCTTTCCTGTTGTGAGGATTATTAGTTATCAGTGTGAAAACAAACATTGGTTTGCTTGTTTGCATTGTTAATAATCATTCCTCCAATGAATATTCATAGTCCCTGTGGTTACTTCTGAGATATGTTCCCTTATGAATGTCAAAGTCGACTTTTGTTTATCATTCACAAAATTGAACCCACATACATGTAATTTTTTCATTTTTTCATTTTTCCAAAAAATTAGTCTAAAAGCCAAAGGGAACATAAAATTTTGTATTTGGTCAAAAATTAACAAAAGAAATTTTAGAACAATGTAGAAATATGTTGTACTTAAATTTTGGAGAAAAAAATTATGGTGTTCTAAAAGTGACATACATTTTTCTACAAAATTTGATGATTTAACCAAAATTTTGGTGAAAATTTCTATAATTTCTTAGTTACAATTCCCATTGGTTTCTTGTTTTAATGATATTTTGACAAACTATGAAAAAACTTCTGTGGATTGATTTTGTGAAGGCGATTCTTGATTATTTGTGTTCATTCATTTTTCCGTATTTTATCTTATTTACGGTACGTTCAGTTTAATGCAGGATTTAACATTTTATCAGAAAAATATTGCTGTCACATGATTGATCATATTTATTAGGTCTTTATGTGACCCTGATATGACTGACCTTTGACTCTGTTATATCTGACCTATGACTCTTGGTATGTCTTTTTTAAGCCCATGCTGTTAAATGTATTCTTAATGGTATTAAAGGAGATGTCAGAAGATAACTAAGTAATTTAAAGATTGTGAATACTGATAGATTTCTTTTAAATGGCTGGGTATACACAATGTATTAATTTATTGGGAAGCACCCGCCTCTGACTGAAAATGTATAAAACGTTTCAGTTAAGATCAAAGGAAAGACTAATTAGTCTTATTAATGAAATAATTCATATCTTATATACCATAATCAAATAAAAAAATTATTGTTATGCAAACATGTGTATACCATGCATTAAGTTGTTCATAATAGATGCACAGCTGTGGCCTTGATGGTCTAAATTGTTATTACTAAATAGGTATATGATACAAACTTAAGTACACTACTAGTATATTGTTACTACTGAGTACATTGACATTATTAAAGGACTGTATTCAACAGTTTTTTCAGGTGTTGCAAATTTGTTGCAAATTTTGCGTTATTAATTAAATGTAATTTTATTACTTAAATAGTTAGTAAAAATTAAGTTTTATACATTTAGTTGTATTCAACATCTTTTGCCTTGTGTGCTTTTTGACTCCCGTGTGCGAAGCACAAAAGGGAGTCTTTGCAGTTACCCTGTCTGTATGTATGTATGTCTGTATGTATGTATGTATGTATGTATGTATGTCACTTTTTTTGTTCCACCGTTATCTCAAGAACCACTAATCAAATTTTGGTGAAACTTGGTACATAGATGTTCTGGGATAATGCGCAGAGTTGATTAGGTTTGGGTAAAAATCTATGAATATTAATTACCTAATTTGCATGATAATTAGCTTCTTTTTAGCTGTTCCAAGACTGTTCTACTAATATCTGAAGAACCACTGATTGGATTTTGATGAAACTTGGTACATAGATGTTCTGGGATAATGCGCAGAGTTGATTAGGTTTGGGTAAAAATTTATGAATATTAATTACCTAATTTGCATGATAATTAGCTTCTTTTTAGCTGTTCCAAGACTGTTCCACTAATATCTGAAGAACCACTGATTGGATTTTGATGAAACTTGCACATGGATGCTCAGAACTAGTGCGCAGATTTGATTAGTTTTGGGTAAAAATCTATGAATATTAATTACCTAATTTGAATGATAATTAACTGATTTAAAGCTGTTCCATGACTGTTCCACTGATATTTGAAGAACCACTGATTGGATTTTGATGAAACTTGGCACATGGATGCTCTGAACCAATACGCAGATTTGATTAGATTTGGGTAAAAATCTATGAATATTAATTACCTAATTTGCATAATAATTAACTGATTTTAAGCTGTTCTATGACTGTTCCACTGATTTTTGAAGAACCACTCATTGGATTTCAATGAAACTTGGCACATCGATGCTCTGAACTAATGCGCAGATTTGATTAGTTTGGGTAAAAATCTGTTAATATTATTAATTACCTAATTTACATAATGATTAATCAATTTTCGGCTTTTCCACTGATATCTCAAGTACTAATCATA